TGTTATACAACAAACTCAAAAATGTAGCTTAATTACAAAATGCAGTAAGACTCTATTGTGATTGTCTGGACAAGAATTGGAAAATAAACCCATTTTAGTTAAAGCTGAGGATAATATAAGTCATTCAAAAATCATATCTATTGAATTGATTTTTTTGTTCTATTTTGTGGTTTTTCAAGAGTAGAGAAAGAAATCTTGGTATTGAAACTCTTTCTGGTAATGCAGAATGATAACACGTCTTCGTCCAAATAATTGGACTCTTTCATACTCAACTTGTTGTTCATTCTATAGAACACAATCTTTTAGTTAGGTGGCATTTCTCATTTATCATCCTTCCTACATGACTAGCTCTGTGTCTTTTGAGTGACCAACTTTTTGGAAGATACCTAACATCCAAATTCCTTGGAATTCCTTGTACTTTATAACATCAGAGTTTTTACTCATCATTCTTTCCACTGAAGCTTAGCTGACCTAAAGATTGTTCTTGATTTTTGTTGTCAGCTAGTATTCAGATACTAGTCAGGATTACAATCAGAACTGTGTAATTAAACACTTATGCATTAATCTTTCTGGGCATTTCCTCCCTTTTCTCGCTCTTGCCAGTACCATTATCATAATATAACCCATTTGGACTTTTGCATTAGTCCCCTAAAAAGTATTCTTAAATCATTGCATCAGTTAAGTAACTTCATTGCTTTGATTGGGTTCCTATTTACTGTGTACTTAATGTGAAAATTTCTTTCCCTATGAAAAATTCTCTAAATCATTGTTGATTAGAAAATACAAATTAAAATAATTATGAGATATCATCTCATACCTGTCAAATTGGCTAAAATGATAGAAGAAGAAAATGAAAAATGTTGGAAGGGATATAGAGAAATTGTGACACTAATACTTCGTTAGCAGACCTATGAATTGATCCAACCATTTAGGAGAACAATCTGAAATTATGTCCTAACTCAGAAATACCACTGTAATGTCTCTTTCCCAGGTGATCAGAAAAAGGAAAATAATCTGTATGTTCTAAAATATTTATAAGAGATTTCTTTGTGGTAGCAAAGAACTGGAACTTGAGGGGATGACCACCAATTGGGGAATGGCTAAACAAGTTGTGGTATATGATTGTGATGGAATATTAATGTACTATAAGAAATGATGAAATGGTTGATTTTATATAAAATATGGAAAGACTTGCATGAAATAAAGAAGAGTAAAACGAGCAGAACCAAGAAAATATTCTGTATAGTAACAGCAATATTGTTTGAGGAACAGCTGTGAATGATTAAGTTATTCTGAGTATCATAAATACTCAAATTAACTACAAAGGACTTATGAAGGAAGATGCTAGTCACCTCCAGAGAAAGAACTGATAAATAGAAGTATGCATAGTATGGTTTTACATATATACATGTATATATATATATACATAATGTATATATACATATATACATGTATATATATATACATAATGTATATATACATATATATACATTATGTATATATACACATATGTGTGTGTGTGTGTGTGTGATATGTTGGCCTTCTCTAGTGAGAGGGAGGGAAGGGGGCAGTTTGGAACTTATAATGTCACAAAAATAAATAAAATTAGATTAAAACAAAGAAATTCTTTCCTTCAAAGCCCTTCATAATCTGGCAATACTCTTTTCCAGTCATAGCTCATATTATTCCCTTCAATATTCTCTAACCTTTAATTATAATAAACTACTGTCTTTTAAACATATTTTCCAAGCCCCTATATCTTGTCTCATCCTTTTCATAGAATGCTAAAAAGCAAAACAAATCACAGATTTTGGTATTTGAAAGAGATTTTAGTGGCCATTTACTCCAACCCATATTTGAAGTAATCCTTATACTAACAAACCTGAGAAGTGGCAGTCCAGTCTCCTTTTGAAGCCTTCCAAGGAGAGCTCACCACTTCTCAAAGCAACATATTTTTCTTTTGTATTTCTTCCATTTACTCCCTAAATTTGCTGTAATTTCTTAATGACCAATGAGTTCATCAATGTCCTAAATTTATGTGGATGCAGCTGGGATTACTACAGATGGGTTTCTGACATTAGCTCCCTCCTTTTTCCATTCTGGTATCTTGCTGGATGAAATCTAGGAACAGCAGTACCTTTTAAATTTCATTGTTTCTCACTACCAAGTCCATCCGACACATATTTTGTTGTTATCAAAGTTCACTTCTTATATATTAAAGATAGGGAACTCTGAAATAACAGAAAGCAGATAGATACTTCCCCATTTCATCTGATTATTATGTTTTGAACTCCCAGTTTAGCACTGACTTCCCAGCTAAATAAAAGCTAGCTAATTGATCAAAAGAGAACATATATAATACATACACATATATGTATATATAAACACATACATGCATATATATGTGTATGTGTGTGTATATACTGTGTGTGTGTCTCCTAAACAATTTATAGATGTTTCAGTATCTGTTACTGTTCTAAATATAAAAGGTCCACCATGATTCCAAGATAATTCTAGATACCATATATATAAGGTGATGATAGATGGAGATAGATATCTATTTATCTCCCTATCTATTTCATCTATCATCTCTCTTGTATTCAGAATCAAACACATCTGAACTCTTTGATACCCCCTTTTTTTTTTACCAATCAAGATTTTCAAAATATGATGACCTTAATATACATGGAGGTGCTTTCTTTTCTGATGTTTATTTCACACCTGTTCAACTATAAGGCTACTTTGCATGAATTACTTTGAACTTCTTTTCCCTAAAATGAGCACAAATAACAGCTTTAGACATTGGGAATGACAGTTGCTTTTACATAAATTCCGTTGTATCTTTCCCTCTTCTAAATAGGACCTACATATTTTGTTTTAGTATCAAAATTTCTAACTTTTGTTACTTTGCTTATATTAATTTCCCAATAGCACCCAATTAGTGTGCCTTAAGCTGTGGGTGGTAATGCAACAGAGGCACGAAATAAAGTTTAAAAAATCAAGTTTTAATAGCAACAGCGGCTCGCACAATTAAGCTGGCAAGTCAGTGACTGCATCTTTTAGAAATTCCCAGCTTTGACACATCATGGGGTGACTTTATACCCTACTGTTTTCACATCCTTGTTGATATCTTGAATTAGCCAAGCATCTGTTACCCCAATGAAATCAGATATCTATTTCCATGCATTAGTTTTCAGCAGTGCAGTTGTTTTCTGATTGCTTTTTATATTTACATAAATGAAAAACATCCTTCTATCTGTTGTTTTCCCTTTAACAATCCTAAAAAAAAGCTGATAAAATTTATTTTTGCTCATTTCCTTTCTTTTCCTTTTTTATTTTTTTGGCTCTGCTTATTACAGTCATTATGGTTGGTTCAAGTTTATCTACCTTAGAGCAGTCTCTATCACAGTTTCCACTTCTCTCCTTTGTATCTGGGGTTAGAAAGAAAGATTGCTCTAAGAGACAGAATATATTCCTAAATATAACAAAATGAATTGAGCAGTAGTTACTAGATTCTCTTTTCTGTCTCATGAACCTATATTTCTACATGATGATTATCTTAAATACTATTATATATTCACTTGTACACTATTCCCAGACTGACACACATACACATATTCCACAGTAGTAGGTATTACTCCATAAGTATATTAGAGCCAGCTTCTATAATGTTAGAGGGTAAATTGTTAAAATTTCTATGTAAGCATTTACACCTTGGAAATTGGCAAATGTTACAAACCAAGGCTTGGCTGGACTTAAGGCAAAGATGGGAAAATGTTAATAATTTAGATTAACTTAAAACTGTATCATGAATACATTTTTTTCCCAGAGAGCTCATTTTTAAACATTGTCTAACACCCCCAGATAAAGCTAGGAAAAAGTCTTAAATAGCTCCTTCCCTCAACACTTTTTCATTGAATTTAAGGATATCATTCATCATAGAATATAAGTTTCATAAAGGCAGAAACTGTTTCTTTAGTGTGTGTGTATGTGTGACAGACTCCAACACAGTCTTGTGCATGTAGTAGATGGTTAATAAATATATCATTTTGGATTGATTTATAGAATATTAAACAAAACATGAAAAGCCAATATTCTGCCAGACTTGAAATTCATACTTTTAGCCAATTAATTACATGATTATAATCAATCAATTTTTTTCTTTAACCATGATTATAAATCATATAAGCAAACAATAAGTAAATATGTCCATATGAGATGAATTTTTCCTAAATACACAATATTATAAAAAAGAAGTCTTTAAATGTTTGGCTTCTTCCATTCTACTCAGGGATTCATCCTGGAAATAGGCATTTCAGATTTCAAATCCTAAGCTGACAATGGAGTCACTGGTGAGAAAAGAAACAAAAAGATTTCCTTCTTTGCATTTTTGAGAAAGTGTCACACTCTTACCTAACAGTTCATCATTTAAGAACAAAATTCATTTTGTGGGTGCAGTTATCCCATGGAAGAGAACACCAAGAGATATCACCCTGAGATGCTGAAGTCATTGCTTCAAAATTCTGGATGCTGTAAGGGTCACAAGTGATGCTTTGGTCAGGAAATGGATACCATGTAAGGGAAGAAAAATTGATTGAATAAAAAGAGAACTAGCTTCAAGAAAAACAATTGTAAGCCATGGTTTATAGATTCTCCATGGGAAAGAGAGGGGAAATTTCAATCACTCATGATAGGTGGCAAACTAGTTTTTTTGTTTGTTTTAAACTAGGGGGACAGAATATAATACAATAATGACATGATATATAATAAATAATATAGTAGCATTCATTCAGGCACCATGGAAATCTAAAAGTTGGTATTTCTCCATATAGAACCAAAAACATTCAATGGTCTTATATTATTCTCTCTCTAACCACAGTACTGAGAAGGGAGGGAATAAGGAAAAAAAATAAGAGATCTAAAAGCAGGAAGTATGGCAGTAAAACTGAAACTGAGTGGATTGTCAAAGAAACTTTGTTTTTTCTTTGTTTTATCTATAGACACTTTCCAGTTGGGGATGAGAAGAGATATGATAGAAAATGAATTTTTGTTCATTTTTAGGATTCAGAAGAAATTCCCACCTCCAGGAAGGAAGGAAAGACTGAAAGGTAGGCATAAGGACTTTGTGGAATTACTGTAGTTTCATTAGTTACAAACAGTGTGGTCTCACTGAATCTTAGAGAATTTGAAGAGCTCAATAATCCTTTTGAGTAGTTTCATCATTTTCATACTCACTGTGTCAATCATAAGGGTACCAGTTTCTTGATTTCTGCAGGAAACAGAGACCTTCTTTATGGTAAGTGAATGAGCAGGCCAAGCACTGAGGGGATCATGCCAACAACTTACCACATTTTTACTGAGAAAATCTTGCATAATTCCTTCTTTAATCAGCAATAATTGAAGGATTTGAAGTCTAACTTTGAAATTTGGAAAAGAATAAGCAGCCAGGGCATGAAATACATGTATCAAGAAGTTATTTATTCCAAGGGAAGCAGTGTGTGCCATTATACATTCCTTGGGAGTAGAAGTCTTCCAGTGCATGGAAGACACTTAAAAAATCTACGGGCTGAGCTTGTACATCATTCAGCATATGATTTTCTACTGTTTTTCTTTTTTTGAGCTCCCTCATAAAGCCTACATCACCTAGACAAAGTCAAATAAAAGATGAACCAATATAGGCTTAAGTTTGATTGATCTGCTTTTTGATAGAGGAACAGGCAAAAGAGAAGGATCTGTGATTTCATTGATACTTGGAACTCTTGGGTGAGGAAACTCCTTCTACCTATGCAGTTTGACACTTTCTCAACAATTTATAGCCTTGGAAAATGTCCAGAGCACAGATAGGATGAACAACTTGCCTATGGTCACATAGCCCATATTTCTCACAAGATATGAATCCAGGTATTCTTATCTTTGAGGCCATGTGTCTGTCTTCAACATCACACTGATATACTTTGGAGAAGCTTTATGAGTAGTGCTAATGAAACCAGTGGAAAAATTTTCATGCTAACACCATCACTACCACCACCATCTGACCACTACCACTAAAACTAATATTAACAACAACAATAATATAAATAATAATCTGTACTCAGAAATATAAAATTAATAATATGCATTATTTTATTTGAATGAAAATTTTGTGAAATAATTCATATTTTAACTTTTTTTAGGCATTGCATCCATTACCAGTTTTTCTTCGAAAGTATTAAAATCATTGAAATGACATTTATCGTCACATGTTCCTTTTCATTCAACAGCCTCAAGCTGGTAGACACATTTCAATTCAGGGTGATTCATTCCTTCCCCCTTTTTTGTCTTCTTTGGAATTCCCCAATTTGCCAAAACATTGCTCATTTGCCAGAATAAGTTACTCATTATGATAGCTATGAGCACTGAAAATGGTGGAAATTATTTTAAATTCCATAAAGAGCAGTTCTTCTCTCACCCTGAGTTCTTAAAGGCTATGCTAATTAATTACAAGTCTGAAATATCTTGATGAGGGTGGTGGTAGAGGGCAGCAATGAAGACATTGGAATCCTGAAGAGTTGAGATTGAAGTACAAAAAAGTATTTCATGTCTGATAGCCTATGAGAGGAGGAAAAAAATGCCTGTGAGTTAAATTTCTTTTCTTTTTTTTTTTTTAGGCAATTGGGGTTAAGTGACTTGCCCAGGGTCACACAGCTAGTAAGTATCAAGTGTTTGGTCTAAGGCTGGATTTAGACTCAGGTGCTCCCGACTTCAGGGCCACTGCTCTATACGCTGTGCCACCTAGTTGCCCCTGTGAGTTGAATTTCTACAGACGTCTTTTTGGATAATATCTTTAGTATATAATATTTGCATTATGGCCTTGAATGGAGACTTTGGGGAGAGGAGTCTCACTAAAAAACCCTCAGTAAGCTCTGCATGTCCTCTACGACAGCAATTAACTTTGAGAGTTATTCAGAAAAGAGATGGGGGCAGCTAGGTGGCTAGGTTGCGCAGTGGATAGAGCACCGACCCTGAAGTCAGGAGGACCTGAGTTCAAATCTGGACTCAGACCAAACACTTGACACTAACTAGCTGTGTGACCTTGGGCAAGTCACTTAGCCTCAATTGCCTTTAAAAAAAAAAGATAGTACACAATTTCTTAGTTTCTAAAAGTATGATGGCCAAAGGGATTGCTCCAGTGGCTTGTAGGGTTATACTTTGTTTGCGTATCCATTGGTATCAAGTAACATTAATGTGTGTAGAAAATGCACACTGTCTCTGATAGAGAAAAAAGTCAAAGGTCTTTAAGAATTCTTTACCCTCCTTTCATTTTAGAATTTTTGTTAAATAATGAAGGTGTAAAGCTTGCAGTTGTCTAAATACTATAGATTAATGGGGTATGAGTTTCCAATAATTAAAATAAAGTATGTGTAGGATCTCATGAACAAAAATTTATCCAAAACATTTGTTGTCAGGGAGTAACATGGGAAGATAGTTTAAGGTGGATGGTATAATCTCTAAAAAAAATCTAATGAAAGAAACATAAATTATTTCAGAGAGGAACAAAGGGAGCTCTTTAAATAGAATTATCTGAGTGCATAGGGAACTCGACCTTTCTTAAAAGACATGTACAAAAGATGAAAGCAAGGAAAGGCAAAAGAGAGTAATTACAAAGAGAGGTACACTCTTCAAATAATAGCTTCAGAAATGTTAAAGTTCAGAATTAACTTAGGCAGTTGATGAATACTAAAAATGAGCAACCAAGAACCAAGAGGACTCTGTACACAATAACAGCCACGTTATGTGATGACTAAGATTGTTAGACTGAACCCTTCTCAGCATTACAAGGATCTAAGACATCTCCAGAGGCCTCGTGATGGAAAATGCTGTCCACATCCAAAGAAAGAACTGTGGAAGTGGAATCTCTATCACTTATTTTTACCTTCTGTTGAGTTTTGTTTCATCTTTCTGATGGTTCCTCCTATTGGTTGTAATTTTTACTTACAACTTCACTAATGTGAAAATATGTTTAATAGGAATGTAAATGAATAGCCTATATCAGATTGTGCTCAGTCTTGGGGAGGGTGGGGGGGAAGAAGGGGGAGAAAATCTAATAAGAACTGATGTAAAATGAAGTAATGAAGGACCAGGAAAAATATAAAGAATACCTCCAAAAGTGAAAATAATTTCACTTAAATAATAGAAGCTGAATATTTTGAAATTAGAATGACTAAGTTGGTCACCAAAGATATGAGTAAAACTTTATATACTACCCCATATACACACACACACACACACACACACACACACACATATATATATATATATATATATATATATATATATAATTTTTTAAAAATTTATGTTTTATTATAAAATATAGTTCCTAGGGGATGGAGACAGAGTAAAACTGGAAAGTAGACGACATTAAAGAAATGATATCAATAAAATTGATTTTAAAACAAGCAGAGCTATCCAGAGGAATGGGCCGCTTTCAGACATACTGATTTCCTCATTGTCAGAAGCCTTCAGGCATATCCTAAATGCCCACTTGTCAGGAATGTTGTTGATGTAATTCTTCCCCAGGTCATGGTTGAACTAAATGATGATCTAGCTCTAATTTTCTATGGATCTATAAATTTAGAGTCTGCAAAGTGGAAAGACCTCAGTTACATGTCCAGTGATTATAAAGTATTATTATTATCTGACATTATTATGTGACAGACAGTATTATTTTTGTCTGTAGATGAGGCTAGCTAATTACATAAGGCTTATTTTTACTGTAGTAATTTGATTTCCTACTAAGGCTTGGAAAGTTTGCACTTTTCATTAGTAGAGGAAGAAATCTTTGATTTTCATTTCAACAAGTGGATCAAAGAAGAAATTATATTTTTTTACCTGTAATTTTATGAGCTCAGGGTATTTCTGTTGGGGAAGTTCTCACTACCAACACAAATCTGAAACTGCTTTAGAAGTGATGGCCTTAGAGATTCCCTTGGATTAGTAAAAGGTTAAGGGATGTACTTAAGTTTGCATGATAGAGAACCTATGTGTCCTCCAGACTCTGAGGTTAACTATATGCACATTGTCATGCTGTCTACTCAAAGTAACCTATTTTTAAAGCACAGTTGAAAAAGTAACTAGGGGGGGGCAAGGTGGAGCCAAGATGGAGGAGTAAAGGCAGGAATTTGCCAGAGGTCTCCCACAAACCCCTCCAAATACCTGTAAAAATGGTTCTAAACAAATTCTAGAGCAGCAGAACCCACAAAAAGAAGGAATGAAACAAATTTCCAGCCAAAGACAACCTAGATAGTTAGCAGAAAAGGTGTGTTGTGCCAGGATAGGAGAGGAGTGCAGTTCAGCAAGGGCCACACCAGCACAGATTGGTCCCTAGAAAACTAGAAGTAGATCTCAGGGGAATGAATCATGGGCAGCTTTGTCAGTTTTCAAACTTCTCAACCTATGAACACCAAAGACAATTTTAAAAGGTCAGTGAGAGAGGAGTACAGTGTAGCCCCAGGGCAGCAGTGGTGGCTGCAGCAGTAGCAATAGCAGCAGACCTCTCAGCCCACAATTAGAATGGAACAAATGAAAGCTAATGACTCTATGAGAAATGAAGAAATTAGAAAACAGAATGTAAAATGTGAAATATCTCATTGGAAAAGCAACTAACTTGGAAAATAGTTCCAGGAGAGATAATTAAAAAAAAAATATTGGGCTATCTGAAAGCCATGATCAACAAAAGAGCCTAGACACCATCTTTCAAGAAATTATCAAGGAGGATAAAATAGAAATTGAAGGAATCCACTAATCATCTCCTGAAAGAGATCCAAAAAGGCAGAATCATAGGAATATTATAACCAAATTTCAGAGTTCCCAGGTCAAGTGAAAAAATATTGTAAGCAGACAGAAAGAAACAATTCAAGTTTTGTGGAAACACAATCAAGATAACACAAGATTTAGCAGCTTCTACCTTAAAGGATTGGAGGGCTTGGAATATGATATTCTGGAGGCCAAAGGAGGTTGGATTAAAACCAAGAATCATCTACCCAGTTAAATAGAGTATAATCTATGAGGGGAAAAAAAATTGACGTTCAATGAGACAGAGG